AGCAGCCAGGCCTTTTGCAAGAACATTGTCATTCACCAGTGTCATCTGCAGTGTTCGTGCAGAACTTGGAGTCTCTCTCCACGTAATGCCAGGATACACCACTAGTATTTTCAGTAGTAAATTCTAAGCTATTGCTAGGGTATGTCACCGATGTAGTTCATTTTATTGTGAAGTACACACCTAAGAATAACCCTTTCACATCTTACTTGCCCATAAATTTTTAGCAGTCAGCTCCTTTGTTGTGTCTCCCTCAAACAACTTCCCTGACCTAAAGTCATGCTTTGATAACACCCATATCTAGAGTTTATCTATTGTATCTGCCTCTGTCCTGAAGGCAACGTGTTGCTCCGTTGTAAGTCATGTTTGCATTCAAGCTTATGTCAAAAGATAATGACTTTCTGTGACAGTAATCACAAAAAGCGTTCAGCATGTGGGACAATCCGTACTGATTTGTAGTTCCCCCATTCTGATCTCTTCACCTACAAGACTGGTAAATGGCAATTAGCACCAGTGGGCCATTAGATTTATTTATGCTATTGGAATCCCAAGTGCATATGCAGGTTCACTGTTGCTGGCAGAGGTGAGCATGATGCAGGGAAAAGCTTACGGAACTAAGCTATGATGGAACAAACAGGTAATTGAAGAACATGGGAATGTACAAAAACATTGGCTTGCAGCTTGCTAGAAGAAATAATTGCATGGTGGACCAAATGAGGTGACAGGGGTGACGAACCCGACTGTTCCCATTGCATGCTGGTGGCAGCTAGTAGAGAAAGTATCATGCAAAGTAACTACGGCTCCTGCAACTCCCTGCTTTTTTTTGAAGTAGTGTGGTTTATTAAAAAAAAAAAACCAAACAACAACCTAGCCTTTTTAATCTCTGGTCAAGCTATTGTGAATATGCTTTGCATGTCGGACTCTTTCAGAGATTATTCAAAAGAAGAATGTGTCTCAGGTTAGTTTAAGAACCATTCTGTTCTTCCTGCAAGCTCCTGCATCTGATGTTACTGGCAGAGCTCCCTGAAATGGAGGCTTAAGCTGAGAAGACAAAAAGCTGAGGTGACGAAAGGGAAAAACATGTTGGTAGAAGGTTAGAAATTATCTGAATGTCATCTTGCATTCACCAGACTTTCCTTTTTAACAGCAACAAAGACCAAAACTTAAAGGGCACAGGAGAGCCTTGTTTGTATTTCTTTTCTTAGCTGTAAGTTCAGGTTGTTAGGGACTTAGTTGCTGAGGGTTTTTTTTTTAATCCTAAAGGGGAACTTTGATTATTACATTGTTATAGATTGCTCAGATGAGCATGCCTGTGGTTGAGGTGGGTATTGTTAGGTGGTTATTCAAATCTTGCTTGAAATAATATATGCCTCTGATGAACAAACCATTCAGACTGGAAATCCCTATGTTGGATTTTCAGCTGCAGATCGATTATTTTTGTTATTATTATTCAAATTAATTCTTGAATATGGGATTAAGGAATTTTTTTTTGTCTGTGGTAAATATGCATTTTTTTTTTTTGAAGGTTTTCAGTGGGAAACTCCTGCTGAGTTTTCCTGCTTTAGGGTAAAGCCATGTAGTTGACCTGTTCTGTGTGATAACCAAGTTGTAACTTTTGGGGGAAAAAAAAAGGCATATAGCTTGACCACTTTATAAGTGTCTGCAAAATAATAAATGATGGCTTGGTAGGGACTACAAGCTATGTTTTTTCGGAGCCGATCTGCACTGATTTCCTTATTGTGCAGATTTTGCATAAGGAACAGATTGCATGTGCCACAGTGAGAGTAACCTATGCTGTATCCTTCCAACTTTGTCAAGAAGGACAGGAGTTTGACAGACATCAGTCTGTTACTATGTAAACACAAGCCATGCCCCATATCTTAAGCATAACTTCCAGGGTTTGAAAACTAGGCTTCAAATTCTTTGTTGTCATTAAGTTGCTGAAAGGCAGATCTTGCTGATCGAGTATCTTCTGTGCTGTATTCGTGTTTCCTCCAAAGCACGCGAGTTACTGAGAACTCAAATAATGAACAAATGCTTTTCCTAACTTTGTTTAGGAGAGAACATTTGTTTTGGCTGAAATCTTCCAGAGCAACTTAAACAGACACCAGGATGGGAAAATTAGTGAAACTAGAAGGATGTAACAACATTTCTGTGCTTGGGCAGTTTAAAATGTCATAGTGGAATGTGAAGTAAAAGAACAGTGTAAACTCTGTTTAACCTTGCCAAAAGCTGACTGATGAAGTTGAGATCAGAATTGTTAGTGCTTCGGCGTGCATTATAAAGGTGAGAAAAAGCGTCTATGTATAGAGCTTGGCAATTTTGCTACAATACCCAAGTGGGAGGTTACTCTGTTGGGGAGCCGTTTGGTAACTTCATTTGCTGTGTGGGTATTGGTGCTCTCACTAGTGGAACCCAGTGGCTCTCCTATCATTTCCCCCCCATAATTCTAAATATCCCAATCATAATGTGATGAGAAAAATTGAGACTGCCCTGCCCCCTCCATATTCTGCTCCTTACAATCTTTCTTCCTTGCTCTCCAGCTCGTAAGAATTTTCCTGTATATACCACACAGATTTAACCTTGCAGCATGTTTTCATGAAGACCACTACCCAGAATGTTCAAGTGGTTAATAATTTCATGTAATATCTGCTTTGCAGTCTTCTAGCACCTGGCTTTCAAGCAGAAATACCCTATTATTTTGTCCTATAATTCTTTTCCTTTAGAAACAGTAGTTTATTTTTGAAAAATTGCAAAGTCTTTATCATTTCAACATCTTCATCCTCTAATTGGGACATGCTGTGTTGTGAGAATATACGTTATAAAGATTTTTACCATTGAAGTTTTATTCAATGAAATAACTGGTATTGGGGAGACTATTAAAGTGTTTATAGCTAATTATTTTATTTTAGTTTTTTCACCAATATTTTTTTTTGTGTGCCTTGGTGGAATCCCTAGCGACGTAACTCTAAATCCAGATTCACATTGCTTTTACAGCCACTAAGGGATATTAAAGCTGTAGCGTTCTGAGATCTCTATCCAGTCTTGTGTTTTACTGTAACAATGGACTTTTACTAGAATGGTTATTTATTTACTTTTACTTTTGTGGTTCTGCCTGGGCTTTCTTTGTTCCTGGAAGAATACTGAAGAAAAAAAGGATGAAGAGAGACCTGGAGTTAATCCCTTTACTCTGTCTTGAGGGAAAATAATTTACAATATTCTTGACAGATGCTTGTCTAATCTCTTAATTACTGGAAATTCCATTTAATTTCTTAAGCAGCTTATTCTAGTCTGTTATATTCTTACTGCTTGTTTTTTTCCCTAATGTTTAGCTGACACAATTTGCAGTAAACTTTGATTTTCATTTGGTCATGTCCAGCTATTTGTGATGTACCTGGATGTATTTGATGTATCATTTCTCCCCTTGATATCTTCTCTAACACAAACTGTGTGTCTTTATATTGCAGTCAGTGTTTCCTCATAGATCTCTCTTGTCTTCTGATCCAGATCACTGCTTTGTAGACTTTCTTCTATCAGTTTGTAGCTTGAAGCCTGTAACCTTGAACTTGTCACCTTGCTTTAATGCTGAAGATCTACTAGTGCTGGGTGGATTGCTCTCCATTTATTTATTTTGAAGAGTTCTTCACAAGGCTCCATTGCTCTACTGATACTCTTTTGTTTGTGTAAGGCGTTGCAAGCAATCCCAGCGTTTGAGGTTATGCATTGGCCTGTACTTGGTTGCATATCTGGATTCGCTTTTGGTTTCTGCCACTCGGAGCTCCATGTTCATCCTCACAAATGGAGGAATGAAAAGTGGGATGGGAACCAGCCTGGAAAACAGTTGTTGCCAGTGAAACAAATCGATATTTGCCCCTTGGTAAAAACAGCTTCCACTATGTGGTTAGCAAGATGTACAAAATAAGCATTTTATAGTTTGTTGGCTGATGATGTTTGATCAAACAGGAGCTGTGGCTTTCTTACTTGCTCTTGTCTAGGAGAATCAGGACTTTCCTTTTTGATGTTGTTGCCTGATGCAGTTGTCTCTGTTGTCATTTGATTAGCTGCAGTCTTCAATATTCATGAAGAGTAGTGAAGAAAGAGGCTGCCTTGTTTGTTAAGCGTCAAGCTGTTGAAAGCATACATGGAACATCGGTTTCTCTACATCCTTTGATTTCAAATGCTAGTTTTTTTTGTTACGATAAAATGGTACAAATCTTCGTGACTACTTCTGACAATACAGAAAGAAGATTTGCTTTTTCATGGTAAAAATATAATAGCAGCGTTAAGAGAAAAGAAAAAAGCTGGGGAAGAAAATGAAAAAATGTATGCTAAAAAAGTGAAAAGGGATACATTTAATGTGAATATAGTCTCTGGTTTTTACAGTCGTCCTTTAAAATTTGTCTAAGAAACAATGCTCTTTCAGTACAGACTGTATTTTCAGCTTTGGTTTCTTTCAGGCTGTAGGTGTATACTTTTGAACCAAGTACGGATGTTTTGAGCCTTGAAACCAATCTTCTTGTTATGACTTAATTAGCAACATTTATGTATTAACTATTTGGATCCTGGCTTCTTCAAATTTGTTTCCTATTAATGTATAATCTTGAGTGAATAACTTCGGACATAGATTTGAATTGGTACTATACTATTTTAAGTGCATGATGATTTGAAACTTGGATTTCATTCCTTGTTTGCTTATTTTGAAACTGTCTCTTACTGTGTTTTACAAGGCAATTTTTCTTGGTACTATTGGTAGAGGTAGGATGAAGATTTAGAATTGCAGTGGAATTGGCTCATGTTTTCTAGGCTTTACTGAATTTTGTTCATTTAGTAGCTTTATAATGATAAACATGCCTAATCTTTTTAGTGCATTTTTGTTCTCAATGAGTCTTCCCACCTCTTTTTTTTTTTTTTTTTTTTTTTTTTTTTTTTTTTTTTGGGTGACAATCACTGCTATCACCTTTGCTGCCCTCCTGTCAGCCCCAAGTGTCCGCTTTTGACTGATGAGTCTCTCTTCCCTCCACCCTTGTCGCTGCTTCCTCTACGAGCAGCTTGGCTCCTGCTTGGAGCACAAGGTCATCTGCCTGGCAGGGCTTAGGGGGTTGTTCCAGGCCATGCCTCTGGTAGGGAACAAGTGCCCTATACAGCTCTCAGAATAAAATAGGGGATGTATGTTTCACTTAGCAGTTACAATGCTGTCTGCATTTGCCAAATCACCAGTAGCTGCTAAGTTTGTGCTGTGTGGTTTTTTGGGTTTTTTTTTTTTTTTTGGAAACGCATTGAATGAATTTGAAATTTGTTAGGAGTTGGTTTGTCAGCAGATGTATGAGTCTTTCAGTAGTGAAAAAACTAAGAGGACAGCAGTTGAACAACCTTCCCTTCCTCCTGTGTGTCCTCTTTGTTAAGCTACCGTCCTCCAGTAGTGTTAGCTGTGTTTTGCTGTGCTGTTTCTTTGGTGTGGTTGTTAGTAAAGGCATGTTGGAAGACCGGTATCTCTGCAAGTTAGAGAGTAGTTTGTGGTCTCATGCATAATAATTGCGATACTGAGGTTTGTTTTGGGGGTGGAGAAGTAGTTGGTGTTTTGATTCTATACTTCTGTGGCAACCGCATTTCTTTCTTTGGCTCTCAACCTAATGGAGCATGCTTTGTTCTGTAATTGAGCATTTTACTAGGTGTAACAGTGTATAGCACAGGAGTAAAAGATTTCTCAAGTAACCTGGCTAGTTCTCTGAGAATATGGGTTTCTTCCCTATCATTGCAACTGGTATACCATCAGTACTTTATTTTTCAAATGTATCACCCAGGGAAACTCATCCTCCATGACTGTATTGCTTATCTGGCCAATATATCGCCCTTTTTAGTAGACTAGGAAGAACCTCATCATCAATCTCTTACTTTTGCTTCTAAGAGCTCTCAAATATCCAAGGCATAAAAAAAAAAGTCAGCTGCTCTCTGATTTCTTGAGAGTTTGGCACTGTATGTGTATAAGGTGCTTGAGCTTTGTGTTTACATCAAAATCCATTCAGTTTTATGGCATCTTTCGCTCTGGTTTCATGAATGTAGTGTACAATTCCACTGCCAGTTTCTCTTCTGCTCTGTTCTGTTTAGACTTTGCATTATTTTGAAGATGCCTTTCCTCATTCAAGCTCCAAAACTGTTTTCCTGCCCCTCCATAGTGGTCTGGAGAGGTTTTCCACAGTGGCTGTATATGAGTTCTCAGTTAATAGATTTGATAAGATCCAGTTTAGTTTTAAAGCAAAAAAAGGTTTGTGCTTTTGCGTCACAAACTTTTAGCTCTTTCTTACCTGAAATTGAAGTAAGAAATTTAAGAAAAAGAAACACCGTAACAGGGCAGAACAACAGCCAGTTGGAAGGGGAAACAAAAAGATTAACTATGGGGTGTAACAGCTTGAATTGGAATTTCTTGCTTCTGACAGCAAAGAACTAGATCATTTGGTGGTAAGAGCAAGAATCTGACCAGCTAGCTGGCAAAGTGATTTACCCTTAAATTTATCCACTGTGGTTAGGAATTGTCTTTTTGACCTTAAGAATTCATTTTCCCCTGTAACCTGGGGCCTCTGCTTGAAAAAGGGATCGCAGACTTTAAATGTTCATTTCAGTCTTACCTTGGGCTTGTAATGACAGTTATTCATTGATTTTGGGAAACCATTTTATATTTGCAAGTCAAATTCAACTACCATACTCATTGTTTTCTCTTCCATTTCCCTGTAACACAGCTTAATTTTATCTAAGTCTGCATCAGTCTGGAGGTTTGCAAGTGGATTAGAAATTAAACTGTATATTAGACAACAGTCAATAATAAACATATTTTTAAATGTTCATATTTAAATAAAAAGAATTGTCAAACCCCCTTCTATTAAAAATTATACTGTAAAATGTGTTCAGATTGCCATTTTTCTAGTGAATTAAAATCTCATTCTGTTTTCTTTTTCCCTCCTTTGGCAATTCATCTGATATCTCGTTCTTCCACATCATTCTCCTGGTGTTTGAGTAAGGTCATCAGCCACTGAAAATGACAGCCTTTTTTCAAGTGTGGCTGCCAAATTGCATTTTCATGTTCAAGAAACATCTTCTGTCTTCAAAGAAAACATGGAAGCTCCTGTTACAGAAATATTAAATGACTCTTTTGAGGAATAATTGAAAACTTGTGGAAGAGGCTTTTGTACTCATTGGTAAGGAACTCGTGAAACTTTTTTTAGCTTAAAATACAGAATTTTCTCAGCATTGCTCTCTGAATGCCAGTGAGATGTTTTAGCTTCAGTGGGGGAAATTTTGATGAAACTAGTAACTGGCTTGTTTTGCATTCTCTTAATCTGTCCAGTAGTCTGAAACTGGAAGATTGCTGTATTGACTGCAATTAATACTTGAATAAAACATGGGCACTCAAGTGTTGAAGCGTTCCCTGAATTCTGACTAGAAAGGAAGGTACAAGTATTGGGAGTGCTCGGTGTTGGGCTTCGCTAGGATTGTTCATTCAGAGGGCTGGCATTAAAACAGGCTGTTCTTTAAAAGCTGCAGTAACCACGGGTTCTATCAGACAGAAATAAGCCTTTGAAAAAGGTAATCTTTGATCAGTGGGTACTTCTGCAGTGTCTGCCTCTATCTTCTGCAGTCCAAGAAATTATTTCAGTCTTACCACAGTGGAGTGGCAACTTAATTGTATGGCTTTAATGTGAACTAGTGAATGTGACAGAAGAGCATATGGAGTACTGTTTAGGAGCCTTGTTCTTGACTGAGTATCTGGCTGGTAGATTTATAGTACAAATTGTGTTACTGTGAGGGGCTTGGGTGTTTCTGTAATCAAACACAGGTAGAAGACTTCAATGGCGGCAGTGTAGGAGAGGGAAAATGGAATCTATTTTATACCAGTGCTGTGTCCTAGATATGTCATCACCTCATAGCATAAAGTCTATAAGAAAACTGTAATTATGTGTATTAATGAAATGAATGCAGTCACATGTAAGTTTTTAGTTACACCACTGAAGAAGGCTGATGTCATATTATAATTGTGTATCATGTCAGATCTGCTCATGATACTCCTGTCTACAAGGTTAAGTCCTTAGAATTCTGTTTTTGAATGGTATCTGCAAAACCAGAAATTTTTAGGCAGAAATCAACTTCATGCTTTTTTTACTGATAAGATGACAAAAGAATAAAAAAAAGCCCCAACCTAGGCACAGAAAGCTCAAATGCAATAAAATCTATCAGGCAGGGGTGGGGTTTTTACAAAATGTACTGAATGGGGAATTAACTGTAAATTCTCTGGGAGCTCTATATTCAGGAATTTTTATATTTATGAAGAATATGTGACTTTCAACATATATATTATAAAAAATTGAACACCTGCTTTAAGCATACAATGAGGTCCAAGTTTCACCCTGCAGGCAAGACAGGTGCCTTCCACAGGAGACGCACAAGTGACTTTCAGTATTCCTGGAAAAGAGCAATAAACCTAAAGGGATTAGTTTAAAAAGGTACTCTGTTGCATTTTATTTCCTTAGCAGCATTAACACCAGATTTATGAACACTATTGATAAAGAAATGTAAAAATCTGTGATTGAAATTGCTCTAGAATCGCTTTTGAAGTACACATTTCTGTTGCCTCTTTCAACCAGGTATGGAAAGGCCAGTTGAGAATTCTAGCACATATCTTCTGCTTTGGAAGTGTCTGGAGGCTTTGGTTAGTTATCAAACACGTTGAAAATGTGTTTTGTTAGAATGCAGGTTAAAGCAGCGTATCCTTATTGAAAAACATCATTTAGAAGGCAAGGTATGACAGAGATGGGAGAATATGGTATGGTAATAACAGCAGAACAGGCCAGGCTGAGTTAAAGAAGAAGAGGTGAGATTGCTCTTACCTTTCCTGCCGGTCGTGGGCTGAGAATTGATTAGAGTAGTGTTGGACTTGAAATATGTAATTAATGATGAAAAGAGCCACTAGCGATCTGGACTGTATTGAACATGAACTGTATAATGAAGTAGAGGGGTGAGCTCAACCACATTAAATGTGAGAACCTGTAACATCTATAATGTTAAAAAGCTGTCTTAGCTTTTTACCACTCTACCACTGCAGTTTTCTAATACTCAGTAGTTCAGAGTATTTAGCATAAAAAACCTGAATGAGCTAATTAAGACTATTAAAATGGTTGCAATAAAATTTGAATATTGAAAGTTTATAAAAGCTCTAAGCAGTAGAGTAGTAATTAAGGAAGCTATTTTAATATATAAAACTCATTAAAGTTGAGCAAAAAAAACCCAACCCCTGCTGCAGCTCACAAGGAAAAATGTAAAAGGAAAATCTGCTTTTAAAATCTTGTTGTCATCTTTCTATTGGATTTAGTTAAATAACTAAGAAACACGAAACCAGACTATCCTCTTCTCATACATAGTGTAGTTTGGGATATTCCCATGCCCTTGCTAAAATTGGGGAAGATAGCCCTTTGCATGTTTATCTAATTTTATACTTCAGTTGATAGGAGATTAGAAACTACATTGTGAATTTTTGGCCTGCTCTGTATTTTCTGAGTTTTTTTCCATTTTAGAGCATCTGAGATCATGAAATAAAAGCTATACTTTTCTGCCTAATCAAGCAGCTTCCTCATTTTTAGCTGGTGAAAGTTTTTTGCACCCTATTCTCAAGCTATCCTTGCTATAGCTGTCAGGCTACTACTGCTTAGAGAATGGCAGCTCCCTGAAGAAAATGAAGAGAAGCTCTGTGTTTACAGCAGCTGGCTCTGGATATCCCTTTTGGTGCTAGAACTGCCGAATCAAGCCGTAGGAGAAGATCCAAGCTAACTCCCCATCAACCTGCAGACCTTTGGATAAGCTCAAGCAGTAGCCAAGAAGCTACTGGGAAATGGAAGAAAGCTCTTTGGCAAAACGTTCTATAGTTTCACAAATTTCTTCAAAAGCTCACCAGAACCTGTAGTGGGTTATTCTGAATATTGAGTTATATCTTGTCACCTGGAAAGGTACTGCTCCCAAAAACTTTACATACCTGTGTTTGTGAGCCATTCACCCTCCCTCCTTGCAGTAAGGTAATTGTTTGTCTTTT